ACTATATAGATCCCAATCACTGATACCGTATTTACAGTAGTAGCAGCCAACAATTACAGAAAGCTCGAAAGTCCTGTGAGAAGCAGTTAAATGAAACTCGCAGCATCTGCCGTGGGAAAAATGCTGAGGCTATCATCTTCTGTACCACCCAGGTCCCCACAGGAAAGACCTCATTTAAAAATTTCTTCTTTTTTTTTTTTTTTTGAAAGCTGAGACAAGATTTACTTCCCTTGAGGAAACAGTCTGCTTTGTCATTCCTGAGCATGAAAGTTATGTCCTAACTGTTCATTTCTCTTTCTCTCTCTCTCTCTCATTTTTTAAAGCTTTTAGGAAACTCACAGTCAAACTCAAAATTCAAATATAGCATAGGTCTTGATAGCCTATTCCATTGATCTCAAAAGCACTTTTTAATCTCACCATCCCCATAGGGAAAAATTTAAGGACAACTCCCTACTAGATGTATATTTATTTATTTATAAACCATATATACAAGGCCAGGCATGGCGGCTCATGCTTGTAATGCCAGCACTTTGGGAGGCTGAGGCAGGTGGATCACTTGCATCCAGGAGTTTGACACCAGCCTGAGTAACATAGCAAGACCCCATCTCTACCAAAAAAAAAAAAAATTTTAAATTAGCCAGGCATGGTGGCACATGCCTGTAGTCTCAGCTACTTGGGAGGCTGAGGAGGGAGGATCACTTGAGCCCAAGAGGTTGAGGCTGCAATGAGCTATGATTCTGCCACTGCAGAGCGAGACTTTGTCTCTAAATAAATAAATAAATAAATAAAATATATGCACATCTATTATTACCTGATATTTTCAAGCATACTATACAGAGGCCAAGGTTCAGTGTCAATGACTGAGGATATAAATCTGTATTTCAAAGGGTCTTCTAATAGTTTCAAGTTGTTTTAATTTCTTCTTCACACCCATCTAGATTAAACTGTCATTACATTTACTTCTAATGAGGCTAACAAAGAACTTGTCTGAGTAGTAGGAGAAGCACCAGCTTTGCTAGTTTCTTATTTGCTTGAATAATGAGAAGTGAAAGAAGCAGTTTCTGGGCAAAAGTTTCAGCTGCTATCCTCATTCTGTGAGGATTTACATAAACATGAAGAGTATAGGCCACAAACCCATGAAACCAGACACAGGTGCCATTAAATCAAGACCCAAAGGAAGTGAAGGAGCAAGCTAGACAGTTAGCCGGTGGGGAAGAGCATGCAGGCAGAATCAACAGCCAGTGGAAAGGCGCTGGGGCAGGAGTGTGCCTGGCTCGTGCCAGGGACAAGGAGCCCTGAGTGGTTGGAGAGAAATGAACAAGAGGAGTCGTAGAGGAGCTCAGAGACTTCAACACAAGGCCAGACCCCACTGGGCCGCACAGACCATCGTAAATATTTTTGCTTTTGCCATGAGTGAGATGACAAGCACGAGTGTACTGCAGGATGCTGGGAGCAGCCAAACCAGGGTCGTGGCCCTGCCGGCCTCCCTGCAGTGTGGAGCTCCTATCCACTTTCCTCCAGGCCCTGCGGCTTCCCTAGGTGTCGTGGGCTGGCAGAGTGAAGCACATGCCAATCCCTGTGTTAAATCTGACTCAATCTTCATGCCTCTCCTTTTAGGATGAAGAGTGACTCCGGCTAAACATACCTAAACATTCTAGTATAAGCATATGTTTTTTTCCCATACCACAGTTGATTCTGTGGATACATGCTACTTCAGAACTCACCTATCTGTCCCTCCATTCATTTTTACCTATACCTGGTCCTGACTCATGTTTTTTTCCTTGCCCTCACTCTTTAATTCTATTTATAGCAACCATTATTTTTTGCCTGGGTTCTCATTAAACCCCTTATGGAATGAAAGTACACATTTCTACATGTTGTGAACAGAATGGATGCAAGAAACTGAACAAGGCCTCCCACTCTCAATGTCTATCTTGTTATTTTGCCTAATCACATTTTTGGGAATCTGTAAGTTTGGGGTTCTTTCATGCACCTTTATCTGCAAACCTTTCAAGGTCATGTTCAGAGGAGTAAATGAAACACGATTTCTACTGTAACACGATTATCAACTGAGTAATAAATGTAACATGACTATCAACCAGGATTGACTATCAACTGAAACTGAAACACCTAGACTTTGTAACAAGGTGTTAAGTATGCATCAAAGTAAAGATTAAGGCCAGGTGTAGTGGCTCCCACTTGTAACCCCAGCACTTTGGGAGCCCCAGGCAGGCACACAGCTTGAGCTCAGGAGTTTGAGACCAGGCTGGGCAATAGAGGGAGACCTCATCTCTACAAAAAATACAAAAATCTGCCTGTAGTCCTAGCTACTCAGGAAGCTGAGGTGGGAAGATGGCTTGAGCCCAGGAGATGGAGATTGTGGTGAGCTGAGATTATGCAACTGCACTCCAGCCTGGGCAACGGAGTGAGACCCCGTCTCAAAAAAAAACAAAGCACAAATAAAAAAATAAGGATTAAGACCAATGACAAAATTAGCTTTAGGGTTAGATTTGGGCGACAAAACCCCTCAGAAAACAGTGACTTTAATGTTCTAGGTTTTATTTATACATGTACAAAAATGTCCAGAGGAAGGGTCTCTAGGGTTAGTCTGGACACTCCATGAAATTATATGGGCTCAGGCACCTTCCAGGTGTTCCTAGGATGTGATCCTCATCCCTGGGATTTAAAGTGGCAGCTAGAGCTGCAGCTACCACGGCCGCTTTCCAGCTGACAGTGAGGGAGAGCAGGGGATTCCATGGTGCTCTATAAGGACACCATCCAGGAATGTCCTGCGCCACTTCCCCCTACATCACATTGGCCAGAATACAGTTATCCAGCCATGCTGGTGGGTGGGAAATGCAGGCACTAAAAATCAGGAAGACTGGTTACTGGGAGAACAACAAGCAGCCTCTGCCACATCTGCCTTAAAACTTGAGATTTTCATTAGCAGAGGATAGGATTCCATATCAGAATTGCATTCAGTAGATTCTGACTCTAGACCATCGAGTTAGAACTGATTCTGATTTCGTATGCGTGTATCCATTCAAAGACTCATTATATACTACCACCCAAGGGGATTTAAAATAAGAAATATCAGCGGGATGCAGTGACTCACACCTGTAATCCCAGCACTTTGGGAGGCTAAGGCGGGCAGATCACCTGAGGTCAGGAGTTTGAGACCAGCCTGGCCAACATGGTGAAACCCCGTCTCTACTAAAAATAAAAAATTAGCCAGGTGTGATGGCACACACCTGTAGTCCCAGCTACTTGGGAGGCTGAGGCAGGAGAATCGCTTGAACCCAGGAGGCAGAGTTTGCAGTGAGCCGAGATAGCACCCCTGCACTCCATCCTGGGTGACAGAGTGAGACTCTGCCTCCAAAAAAAAAAACGAGAAATATCTTGGGAATACATTACACATGATAGAAGCCCTGAACGTGATCTCTCTGTGAATATAAGCACTTTTTCTGTCTAATAGAAACCTGCCATTGCTTTAGACAATCAGAAGCCTCTCAATAAGTATGTTGTCTTTTGCAAACCTGATCCTCCTTCAGATGCATGAGTCAAGCCCACTGAATGAAACCCACAGTGAATTATGGAGGTAAGACATCCATCTTATAATGTGAACAATCACACTCTAACACATCTGGATCAGAATTAGAAATGTTCACTTCTCCGATTTTCCTAAGGCAGTACAATTTCACTAGTGATGTTAACAGATTAAAAGAATATCTCTAAAACAAATTCAAAATGCAAACCTAATAATGGCTCCTGATTTCCCTTTCAAAGTCTCATCTCGGCCACTGCTATATGTCCCCTGGAGATCTCGCTGGAGAGTTGGTCACTGGGTTTTTGCAGCTTTCCCATAGACCTCACTTCAACAGCTAGAGATGTGGGCAGATGCTGAGTGACAATTTCCCTTCTGTTGCGGAACATGAGTCAGGGAGGGAATTCACTGTGCAATGACACATATTTCACATCCTTCAGGTGCCAAATGTTCAAAGGATAAAAATACCTCCCCTGGCCACCTCCCAGAATAAGATAGGCAGTGACCCAGTCGTGAACTCACACTGCACCCGTGACTTCACACTCCACTTGGGAGGGCTGTGCCATTTAGAACTCATCAAAGAGGGAGCCTAAAAGAGACCAGTTCTCCTTTCCTGGGCCTCGTCCTCCCCACCAAACCTGGAATACTTGCTCACTCAAGTTTACAGGATATTTCAGGAATCGGAATCATTCCGTTGAGCTGAAGAGTAAAACATGTTGGGGACGGGACTGAATTATCTGTGTACGTCACAAGTGATGGAACTGCCATAGCAAGAGGTGTGGTTTCCAGAAAGATGACAGCATCTGAGCACATTTGCCCATCCCATGACCATTACCTCCAACCCATAAGGAGGGGAGGAAACCTCTCCCTCTGTTTTATATTTTTTTCCCCTCTGAATTCCTCTCTGAAGAGAAAGAAGAAAATGATAAAATCAGGAGCCTGCACACTGCCTGAGACGTTTACATTTAAGCTGGACCAGGCACTACCCATGTATCACAGGCAACAATTTCGCCCTAACAGGGAAATGGACTAAGTGACTTAATGGGTATTTTCCATCTCTAATTTCCATGATTAAAAGAAAGAGGTTGAGAGGGGTACATGTGGAGCCTATTGTGAGTTTGCCAATGAATCCTAATTTAGATCAAAGAGAGTCTATGTGACACTGAACCATAAACACCCTAGTGTGCGTTACTTCAAGGAAGTTGTTAGTATGTCCCCCGATGGCTATTATGCGATATAGTTGCACTCAATAGCCTGCACCCTTTAATTACTAATATAGAAGAAAATCCCATATAAGAGAGAAGAATGTAAATGAGACCTCTGCTCTTTTGAACATTTTGTGCATTTGCCAAATTAAAATTTGCTGTGAACTTTGGTTTTCCCTGATCGCTGTTGGTAGTGATCATTTGGCTCATGGGATTAAATCCAACTTCCCAAAAACTATTTCCGATCAGTGTGCAGATTTCAGATATTTATACATGCTTTGCACTGAGACAAGAATCATCAGAAACAGATTGGGAACAACTTCTTTGAAGTTTTGAAAGGTATGGAAGAAATTCTTTCTTCTCTTTCATTCTCCTCTTTCTGCTGATTATTGTTCAAAGGCAGGTTGAGGGGGCTGCAACTGAGAGAGGGGCCCCAGGAGTCCCGAAGCACGATGTTATACCACACTCGTGCACCACCTGAAGCGTGTGCATGTAGCTTTTGCACACAGAGGACCCCATTTGAAGGACTCAGGTCTGGATCAGTAAGCATAACTGTACTCACTTCAGTGGGGGTTGCTCACACTGAGTTTTAAAGCACAATTGCAAGATGAGGGCAACCACAAACCTCAACTGGATCAGCACGATTTTAATGATACTTCCATCTTTAGGATTTTTCTGTCCTCAGCCCACCTATAGAAAAAAAAGAATTGACTACTCAGGAGGCTGAGCAGAGAATCATTTGAGCCCAGGAGTTAGAGGCTAAAGTATGCTGTGATCATATCTGTGAATAGCCCCACTGTGCTCCAACCTGGGGACACATAGTGAGACGCTATCCCTGAAAAAAAAAAGAACCGATAACAGCCTTGCACTTAAATTAACAGCTGAGTGTAGAATCAGACCCTGTACAAAAGCGAAGATGCTTATTAGACTGCAGAAGATGTTAACCATTCAGGGAGCTGTGCCATGCCCAATACTGCATCTTGTTCAATAAAGCAAACTCCTTCTTTGCCATCTGTCTCATACTACAGAGAGATAATAATAATAAAATCATTGCTTAATGAGTAAACTAAGTAGATGATAATTCCCTAGTAGATCATATTGGTGTTCTTCTCCAAAGGCTGCCATATTCTCAATGAGGCAGAGAACACAGGGGAGAGTGCGTGATTGTGCTCAGACGGGGATGCCTAAAATCAAAAACCAAGGCAGCATATGTCAGTATTTAAAGCCCCATCAAAGAAACATCCAACTTTTCAGCTGTAACCCAAATATAAATTTTCCTTACCCTGTCAATTAGCAGATTACAAAACTTCTGTAGCAGGAAGACCATTCTGCCAGCAAAGCCGTAGTGTTTGGAATGGGTCCAGGTCAGACAGATGGTGTGGAAAGGGGGTGCAATGAGACGTTCTCTATCAGCAAAGTCAACTGTTCCTCCATACAGCACATGCAACCTTTGAAAGGAGGAGCCACAAGGTGAAGTGTGTCTCCCACGCAGCTGGAGAAGCATACAGATGTCTACAGGCACCCAAGTGATATGACAAGCACAACAGTGGGCTGCCTCAGGGGAAGCATCTAGAAAAGAAAAAAATACGCAAAACATTAAATAACTGGAAACTTTGTTCCTTGGCAGCTAAAAAGTGCCCCTTAGCCTAAGCTGATGAGCATAAAAAGCAGAGTCATATCTCCTCCCAGCATGATATTAGGGTAACAGAGAGTTCTTGCTTTCTTTAGAATGCTGACTAAGCTATGTACAATCAAATGATATCACCACCGGAAGAAGACAAAGGATATTTGCTATACTATTATTAAATGTCACCTGTGCATGTCACAGTCTACTTGCAAAACTTGTTCACTTATAAATAACACTTAGTCGGTTGCACAGAAAAGCTTGATTCGGGAGTAAATGATTAATGAAGTTATTACACATAATAACAGTAACAGTCCACTGAATCGTAAAAGTAAGTTTTAAAATGGAACTATTGATGGCTAGCTATTTTAACAATTTTTAATGTAAAATTCCTTTAATTATGATCAAAGAAGCAAAGCTATTTCAGTAAGTTAAATATTTTTAGGCCAATAAAAGTGTCTTTGGGCTGGGAGTGGTGACTCACACCTGCAATCCTGGCACTTTGGGAGATGGAGGCGGGCGGATTGCTTGAGCCCAGGAGTTTGAGACCAAACCCAGACTCTACTAAAAATATAAAGTTTTCCAGGTGTAATGATTACATGCTTCTAATCGCAGCTACTTGGGAGACTGAGGCATGAGAACCACTTGAACCTAGGGGGCAGAGGTTGCAGTGAGCCAAGATTGTGCCACTGCACTCCAGCCTGGGTGACAGAGCAAGACTCCATCTCAACAACAACAAAAAAGTGTCTTTATTGCTCTCTCTCTAAATTAGTCATGACCAGCCACTTGTAAGCACCAACAGCGCGCCAGGCACTTTACCTGTGTCAGCTCAACTAATCCTCTAAACAACACTGCAAGATGGAATTACTGACATCATTTTAGAGGTAAGAAATTAAAGACCCAAGAAAGGAACCTGGTCATGCTCTGACAGTAACTCAGAGCACCACTATTTTAATTCCAGGGATCTATCTCAGAAGCCTATTTTTTCTCCATCCCATCACCATGTCCCCCAAAGTGGGAGGTGGCTATTTGTTGCAAGTTCCAAGTCAAACTGTCTTCAGATGGAGCAGTACCACCTGATAATGCAGATCGATTGGCCTAATGCAAAAGGGCCGATTGTATTTTAGCCATACTTCCTATTTCAGCTAGCTCCAGGTGTTGGCTAGCAGTGCGTGATTTTGCACCATGAAGCGTTTTGACCCCAAGCACAAGCTGGAGCCCTACCAGATGTTCCTGCATGACCAGGAACCTGGGTCCACCTGGCCATCGGTCTTCTGCCAAGTGAGAGAGATACAAACACAAAAGGTGGTTGTGGCAATTTTGACTTTCACAGTGCCCTTCCTCCACGAAGTTCTGAGTCTTTTTCCGCTGCACTTTTTGCTCACTCACCCACAGAGGTTTGGGGCGAGGGGGTCTCTCAACTGAAATTGTGCAGAGAGGAGACATTGAGGCCGTTATCCTGACAATACTGGGTTAAATTCTTTTCAGCTGTTCTAGCAAAACTGGACTCCGCCTTCGCACAGAGGTTGGGTTTTCTTTGACGCGATCTTGATCGAACAGAAAAAGAGAGAACTCACATGTCATGCTCTGTCTATATAGATCTGGCATCACATTTGATGCTACAGAGATTTCAAAACCAAGGCCAGGTTAAACCTGCCAAGCCTGGAGTGGAATTTTATGACTAGTGCCACTATTTTCACTTCAGAGTGACGTATAAGGAAGAGGATCCAATGATCAAAACAAGTAACTTGGTCACCGTTTAAACTGTTCAACCCAGGCCCCTGCCCTATATCCACACCCTGCAGAGGGGGAGAAAAAAAAAGCACAAAAGCCTCATAGAAGTAACAATTGCCTATTTTAATGTTGGCAACTTATAACTGACAATTATGTTGTTAATTGATAGTTACTTCAATGAGTTGTCATCCATGTAGATTGTTCAGATTAGCAGTGTTGTTTTTGCATTGTGATTAAACCACTGGGTAGCTGCATAAAAACTGTTGTCATCTATTACAGATACATTCTAACATCTCAGAAGAAAAAAAGGGCCAAGCCCCTTTAAAGATACAGACGATTTTTAAAAGAGGCTGGGAGTCACAAAGTCTTCTTAAAATACGATTTTTAGCAGAATGCTTGATTAATGAAATGTAACATTTAATTAGAGAAATTCCTTTCTATGCAAACGAAGTATTAATTACACAAATGGCAGTAAAAGAGGGAGCTATCTTCAGCGGCGAGGCTACCAGGCGCCCCAAGGAAAACATTCCTCCTGCCTAGAATGAGTCTAATAGAGACCCCACGCTTGTCCTTGGAACTAACTCTCTCAAATTCAGGACAGGTGGCCAACTACAGGATACAGCTGGTTGCTTTTTAGGCCTGGAGACCAGAGCAAGTAAAATCCCACAGGTTTCGCCTGAAGGAAAGATTTAGAATAAGTTCATAGTCCAAGACTAAAATAGCATTTATTAACTCTACATATAAAAATAAAACAAAACCCTCTAGTATATCTTACTTAAAAGTTTTCTATGGCTTCCAAATCTTGGGAAAAAAACCAGATTGGATTTCTAAGATGTTCTACTGTGTGGAAGCTTTAGGCTGTAGTCATTCTGTTAGCAATAGGAAAGTGATCTTGGACATCTGCTGGCCACAACTCCAGAAGCCCAAGCAGGCCCCTCCTAATCCACGGGCAGTCCTGGCCACAAGGTGGCAGTTGCCCAAACCTTAGGCAAAGTGACTTTTGACATATATTTGGATGAAAAACATTCAAGTGATCAAGTTAGTCAGCCAACTCTTTCCTTTTAACAACCCTGGCAGTAATTCTTGTTAAATTGGAGCAAGATTCCTTTTCATATCAACTGAACATACATCTTTTTTTTTTTTTTTTGAGATGGAATCTCACTCTATCACCCAGGCTGGAGTGCAGTGGTGCTATCTCGGCTCACTGCAACCTCTGCCTCCCAGGTTCAAGTGATTTTCCTGCCTCAGTCTCTCAAGTAGCTGGGACTACAGGTGCATGCCACCATGCCCAGCTAATTTTCATATTTTTTTTAGTAGAGATGGGATTTCACCATATTGGCCAGGCTAGACTCGAACTCTTGACCTTGTGATCCACCCCCCCCACCCCACCCCCCCACTGAACGGGCGTAAGCCACCACACCCAGCCCATACATCTTTTTAAACTGCCATTTTGTGGGAGTTACATCTATGCAGTATTACCTACAGCTCTCTGACTCTCCACTCCTGATGCCCCCACAATATTGCTACCACCTCAGTTGGCACTACTGCACTACTGTCCTGTTTGGGGTGCAGTGGTTATACACTGCACATATTTTTTTCCTTTCTTCTGATAACCACTCCTCGTCTACTCTTTTCTCCATGGATTGGGTGGGCCAATCACCACCTCTCAGGCTCAGAGCTGGGCATGTATCTCAGATCCAACCAGTCAGATTATTCTATTCCTCTGGTCACAGTCAGCAGATTAGAGATAAGCATAGAACCCCATCAGTCCAATAAGAACCCACCTTAGAGCTTTTTCTGAAGCTCCTAGGAAAGAGACAAGAAGCATTCTTTCTTTAAGGTGGGAAGAATGTAAGCTTGGAGATGCTGGGCCAGCACATGAATAGAACCTGATGAGAGACAGGCTTTCACAGGACAAAGCAGAGTCGAGACAGAGGAGTGCTTCCTCAAAGGTGCAGAGGCTAGCAATTGGATAACTTCTTTCTATATTTGAGTAAATAGGTAAATATATTGTAGATAAAGAAAGCCAGGTTTCTCTCTGTCAAAGAAAAAAGTTAAAATCAAGAAAGAGGGGAAGTCTAAAATGAACCTTGAGATTTTTGATTAAAGTTGGAGGTACTAGTATGAACTCATGGTTTTCTCTCCAGTATATATCCAAATAGATAGCACAAAAATAAATATAGATATATGTATGTGTGCATGTATGGATGGGAAAATACATATATTTGCTGGCCATGTATGCTAAGCAGGCATAGATGTAATGACAACCTAGTAATGATGAGCACACCGACCATCCAGATCTTGGGTTCTAAATACCATTCCCCAATAAAAGGAACTGGGACTCCTGGGAGATGTGAATGATTCCATGGCAGGAGCAGAGAAAATATAAAATGAGCCTTTAATATCTCTTGGTGCTGGAAAGTAGGCAAGAACTCAAAAAAATAATGAAGGTATATCAGAGAACATAAAAGAGTTCCCCAAAGCAACACCTGGAACCATTTGAGCAACAAAATAAATATTGGTTTATAATACTTGAATAAAAGAAACATTTATGATATCAATAAATTTTATTTTTTCAACAAATAACAGAACAAATAAATCAACAGAAAAGACACAATTCTTCTTAGAGAAAAAAATCCAACTAATAAATGGAGAAGAAATGAGGAAAATAGTAAATTACTATTGGAAAAACAGAGTAAGAAATTTTGCAGGCAAGGTCCATCCACCAATGGTCTCTAAAATTAGTGGGGAAAAGCTTGAGGAGAAATAAGATAGTTGCATAGTCTCAAAGTATCTTATTCAAGGCATTTACTAATGACAAAGGGTATAATAGCTTTCCATTGGAGAAACCCAGCAGACATCACTTAAGGTTAACATTCTCTGTAATATGACATGTTGACATCATGTACAACTAATTTGATGGCCTCAGAAGTATATAATAATTCCTGAGATATTCTTACCACAAATGCATAACCTCAAGCTAATCATGAGAAAATAGTATATATACCCAACTTGAAGAACATTCCACAAAATAACTGGCCAGTGCTCTTTAGAAGTGTCAAGGTCATGAGAGGTGGCAAAGATTGAGGATATGTCATAAAATGAAGGCCACTAAGGAGGCATGACAACTAGTGGTGACATGAGACCCTTGACTAGATGCTGGAACAGACTTTAATGGAAAAACTCGTGAAATTTAGTCTCTGGTTT